ACAGGCTAAAAATGTCATCACAGTTGGGCCTCTGCTCTTCTACTGACTTCACTGGTTTGCTATTAAAAACAGGCTCAAGCTCAAAGTCAGACCAAAGAAGAATTTCTGGGTCATCAGAGTCTAGGAATCTCCAGAAGAGGGTGCAGAAGCAATGTGGAAGAGGACATAAGTGTTTCTTTTCATCCAAATTCAAATCATGAATCTGTCGTGGTGCCTGCATACCACCTACATGGTACTTAGCAGTCATTTGCTTTGTATGAAAGAGCAAGAGAAAAAAAACCATCAGGTTGGCCCACTCTTGGCAGAGGTGGGAGGGTAGAAGGGAGACAGAAAAACACCATCAGCTGTGGCAGCGAGCTGTGTGTATTTACATTTCACAGGCTGAACTATTTAGTGGTTTATTTACACACAATGTTCTTGGAGCAGCTAAAATGCCAGTTGTGTTTTATCTCGATTTTGTGGCAATGCTCATAAGCCACAGAATCATAGGAAGAGTCTGCAAATGGGAGACGAACCTCCTACATCTGGAAAAGCACGAGGCACTGTGAGAAAGGAGAGAGATTTTGGGAGCACGGGCACAACAAGGGCTGAAATGCATTAGTTATGACAAGACACCAAAATACAACCCAGGGACTCGAAAGCAGCGAGCCAGTCACAATGCAACAGCTCGTGCTGCAGGGACTGCACATCCCAGGGTAACCCTCACAGCCGAGCCAACCCGCGGCACGGCACAGCAGCCTCGGGTCCCTCCGGCTGCCCCTCCATGTTAGAGTGAGGAGGGAATTGCAGTCAGCTCCATTTTATGCACATTTGATGGCAAGACGCCAACACAACTGTTGACTGAGCCAAATCTGGGCCCCCTTGAACTAAGCCATCACCTAAAGCAGGGTGGAAAAGCACATGCCTCTCGCCTTCCCAGCAGCCAAGTTCCTGAAAAGCATCCCAGTTACAAGATTTTTCTTTCTTTCCTCTGACAACAACTGATGTTTTAACTCTTTTATGCACACTCATTAATTTGAAATGAACCAGCTAACACGGAGCTGCGTTGTACAGCAGTGGGATGGAGAGGCTTCCTCCCAGCGAGCCAAATGATTTCCTGGCTGGCCCAAATGGCAGCTGAGGCCAGTGCCCGATCTGGAGGGCAGCTACCGTCACACTCTGCAGCCCGCTCCCATCCTCGCCAAGGTGCCAGTGGCTGCCTTCCAACTGGAACTGTATTCCAACAAAAGGGAGTGCAGGACAAGCTTGGGAAAGCTTTCTGAGCCCTTCGGTTCACTTCTTCCCTCCAGACCAGTGTTTGGTGGGAGCTGCCAGCACGCTGGGGATTGCATGGAGAGCATCACCGCTCTGGGAATTCACCTTCCTGAGCAGGTACTGCTCCTGAGCCATGCCTCTGCCTCACAGCAGAGAAATCCCTCTGCTGGCTTCTGCTTTAATTATATTTCAAAACCTCAGCTTCTAGTCTGTGTTCCATTATATTAATAGCAATAATTAAAAATACCTCAAACAACAAGTCCTCTAAACCTGCAGTTCCATCCAGGCTTTCTGGCACCGCACACTTCCTTTCCTGACTGACATCCTCAGGGAACCAGATTGATGGTTGCTCTGCTCCATCCCTGCTGCAGGGCTGTGCTGCGTTCTCTCAGCACATGTGAGCTGCAAGGTAATATTTGTGTTGGCAACTTCCTTACATACTTTACAGAACCAGACCTCCATTTGACCCTCAGTGCAGCTCCCACACACAACTTGGTCCACTCCTTATGAACTGTCTCCTCTTGCTGTAACACATGCTCCATACCATACCTCTGTTTCCAGCCTGTTTAAAAACTACCTATCTTGAACAGAGCTTTTGTGCTTCAACAGTGCAGCTTAGCTATAAAAGCCAAGCCTGCAGAACGTTCTTATGCAAGAACACCAAACAAAATGATATAAAATCTGCATGTACAAGTCTTGGTTGTCCTCCTCCCAAGATTGCTCCAATGGAAGCAGTCATTTTTATGAAAAAATGAGAACTGTGTAAAGTTCTGTGTAAAAAGACATCAACATCCAGGTTTTTATGGTCAGAATCCAATAGCTGTACTGTGCTTTAGGGGACTAGTGGGGATTTTGTTTAATATCAGCTCCATTGCAGCTCTTTAGGCAGTACCACCACTCAGAACAGACTTTCACACCAGAGATCTTCCCTCCTTACCCAAAGCACACCAAGCAGAATAAAAGACAAGCCAACAAAAGTAACGTGTCCAGATAATCCAATGAATTCCCATTACCCATCTGTGCCGCAGCAGATCACCAACAGCTCCATTTAACGCCAAGAGAGCTAAAGCAGACTAAAAGTGATGCAAGAAGAGGGGAGATGAGAGTGGCACAGGGCGGCGAGGCAGCTGCAGCGCGAGCAGGGGACTGTGCAGAGCATCATGTGACAGGAGCAGCAGGAGAGAGCTGCAGCCCCCCGCTCCCACCTCCCCAAACCTGTGCCCTCCCTGCAAGGCCACGGACAGCACCACCCGATCCCGAGGCACAGCGACTCGGGATAGAAGCTTCTCGATGTTTTGAATCGTTACGCTCCGTTTTCATTACTTCCCTCCACAAAATGAAACAGGGACACGGAAATGGTTAACAATGAGCTGCATGTTCGTCCTGCTGGAATGCACTTCCAGCATCTTTATCACTTGTAGATCGACTTTCTCAAAAGAGCACAGAACACGGTATCATTCTTACACATAGAGCAAAGCCCAGCTAGACATCGTTGTGATAAAATATTCCCTGGTTTGTAAGGGACACAGATTGCCAACTGAATTTTGACAGTGTACTGTAGCTACATTTCAAGGCAGAACAATGATCACATTCTCCTCTGTAGAACAACAAAATATTCCCTCTCTCCATATAGTTTCTGTGAATGGTTTTTGTATTTCCTGCACTAAAGGAGCTGGCCATCACAGTCGTGACTGTCTGTATTGCTCTGGCAGCCCAGGATGACTGGAGAATAACGCTCTCTGCTCATGGTGAAGTGACTCACTCTTTCTTTCATTTAACGTACATCGTGGTCCAATTCATCCAAACATCTTGAATGAGACTGTATTAATCTGATTTGAAAATGAAGCCTCTTTTTTCTACACATACGATCCCCAGCAGGGCACCAGGCTCCCAAAGTGCTTCCTCCACCATGCCAGGGACAGCACAACCACCTAAAACCACGGGGTCAGATGGGGTGAGGAGACCCCAGGCAGGAACTGCATCTGCAGATCCCACTGCAAGACCCATTCCAGGATGATTTTCTATGATTTGCAAAGGCTGCTACCACAGCAGTCCTGCTGCCTGCAGGAGCAGAGGGAAGCACACACATTCTGGGAATTTCACTCACATTTTAGTCTTCATATGGTCCCACAGCGCTGCTTTGCATTAGCTGGACAAGATGCCATAAATTACAGGTTGTGTTTGGATAGCTCGTGCAAAATCCACATTTTTTATTTTTATATTAAGGGGTCCATTTTGCAAGTTGGAGGACTAGAAGTGCTTGGCCCAGACAGAGCTAAAGCATAGAAGCTTGGAGTCTGGTTATTAAATGACAGATGTGCAACTCAGACACTGGTAAAAACAGATCCTGTTCTGTGGTGGGAGATTAGATCTAGCGCTGAAAACCTGCAGTCTTGATCTTGAATGTTTTAACAGGTTATGGACATTTTTATAAGGCAAGAAATTTGAGGGGATGACACAACATAACAACCATCCAGCTTCCGTCCCCAAGGGCGTCTCATGTCACCCATTGTCCAAGACACCTCTCTGTACCAAACCAAATAAAAATTGGTGACAAGGGAACCGCTTCGACGGAAGTTTCGAATCACAACAAACCCACGACGATGCCACCAAACCGGCAGCTTGGGTACCCAGCACTGCACGGACTGCTCCCGCAAAATCCAGCAACGTTCCACCCCAGCGGGCTCGTCCGCCGGCGCCGAACGCCGCTACCTGTCAGCGGCCGCTCCACACCGGCGGCCGCGGCCGCTCCACACCGGCAGCCGCGGCCGCCGCGGGCGGGAAGGGAGCGCGGGCAACGGAGAAGTTCATAAGGAGGGGGTCGCTCGGGTGGTTCCTCCAGCTGCCAACCCAGGCCTAAGCGTTAGACGTGTCACATCGCGTTCCTCCCCTCCGTTAGCAGCAAAGACAGCGGCGAGCACGGCACCGGGCCGCCACCGCCGGGCCGCGGCGGCTGCCGCCCCCGCCGCCCCTCACCGCGGCACCGGGCACGGACCCGCCGCGCCGCCGGGGGATGCTCCGCGGGCCCCCGCCCGCACCTGCCGCCTTACCTGGGCTCCCACGCGCGGCGCGGCTCTTCCGCCGGGCCCGGAGCTCTGCGGGCCGTCCGCACCCGCCGGTCCCGACCACGGTCCCGGTCCGGGCGCGGCCGCAGCGCCGCCGAGGTTCAGGGAGCGCGGCTGCCGCCTCGCGCCGGTCCGCGCCGGCCAGCCCCGCCCCCGTGCGCTCCTATTGGCCGCGCGCCCAGGCTAACGGCGAGAAGGCGTTCTGATTGGCTGCGCCGGCCGTCAATCGAGAGGCTCCGCCCTCCCGCGCGCTGCCGGTGAGGCGCGGCGGCTGCTTGGATACGGCGGCGGCGGCGCCGCGGGGAGCGAGGTGGTTCCTCCAGTCTGTCTGTCTGTCCGTCCGTCCGTCCGTCCGTCCGTCCCGCGCGGCAGCCTGCGCACACGGCTCTGCCCCTGTCCCTGCTTCGTGATGCCGCGGCGGCCGCTCCCGCCCCACCCGCCATCACGTCCCCATCACTGCCGGTGTAAGAGTGCCGCACCTCGGCCAGCGTGAGAACACCGGCTGCGCTCTGACCGGGCTCCGGCGGCTGACAAGAGAGCGGGGGCGGCCGCCGCAGCACCGAGCGGCTCCCGCGGGGCTGCAGCCCCAGAGCCCAGGGCCGGCCGTGCCTCCCGCCCTGCCTGTCAGCGCCCCGGCCGGCACCACCGTGCCGCCCGCGGGGGGCGCGCGCCGCGCAGGCTCCTCCCCCCGCCCGGCGCGCGTTGGTACGGCCCCGCCGCGGCACCGCCCCTGTCCCTGCGCCGCTTCCGCCTTTCCGCCCCGCGCCGCCCGCCATGGTGAGAGAGCTGGGCCGCGCGTCGGGAATCCACCGGCATCCACCGGCATCCCGCGGGAACGGCCACCCGGGGATCCACCGGCATCCCGCGGGAACGCCACCCGGGCATCTCCCCCGTCCCACCGGGCCCGGGAACCCCGGCAGTCCGCCCACATCCCACCGGGCCCTGGGCCCGCATCTTCGCGCCGCGGGGGCTGAGGGAGGGCGGGATGCGGGCCCGGGGCTCGGGCGGGGGCACTGACGGCCTGTCCGCCGCCCGCAGGCCAAGATCAAGGCCCGAGACCTGCGCGGGAAGAAGAAGGAGGAGCTGCTGAAGCAGCTGGAGGATCTGAAGGTGGAGCTGTCGCAGCTGCGCGTGGCCAAAGTGACCGGCGGGGCCGCGTCCAAGCTGTCCAAGATGTGAGTGGGGCCGGGGGAGCGGGGCCGGGGCCCGGCGTGCGCCGCGCCCGAGGGCTGCGCTCTGTGGCGGTGTGCTGTGAGAAAGAAAAACCTGAAAACCCGCGTGGAAGAGCAGCACGGCTCGCTGGGCCCGAGGGCCGGTGCGGGTCGCTGCTCAGAGGAGCTGAGCCGGGCGCTGCCGGGGTTGGCTGTAGCGGGGTGCAGGGTGAGGGGGACGGAGCACACGCGGGCTCTGTACCCCGGCTCCGTCCGTGCAGCTGCTCCTGCAGGGCGTGCTCAGGTCCCTCTCTTTCCCACCCGCAGCCGTGTGGTGCGCAAATCCATCGCCAGAGTGTTGACTGTCATCAACCAGACCCAGAAGGAGAACTTGAGGAAGTTCTACAAGGTAAGGACAGGCCTTGTCCTTCACGCTCTTGCTGTTCACAATGACAAAGTGTGCCGGAAGGATTGCTACTTAAAAGCTTAAAACTCAAGGAAAAACTATAATTTGTGTTCAGTTCAAAGTTCTCTGGTCGTGGTTGCTTTTTAAATATTAGTGGAAGAGTTCTGCAAGCTTGGTGTGAGTCTGCTTTTGCAGGAAAGTCCTCTGGCAGCATCCCTTCTGTGGGGTGGGATGGACTTGCTGGGATGAAGAAATGGGTTTGCAGAAATGCAGATACTCTTTATTTTCAATTTATTCATCTCAGGGGTGACCAAGAAATTCTTTAATTCCATGTGGTTCTGTAATTTTTAGAATATCACTTCTTGGAGTTTGAATTAGATCATATTGAGTGGGGAAAAAAAGATCTTTTCAAGAGGATAAGTGCGGCTTGTAAGATTCTGCCTTACTTAAACCTGAGTGAGAGCTGCTACAAAAGTCACAATCCACTGGTGTTTCCTGAGCTCCTGGCTGCAGTGGTAGTCCCAGGGAAAAGAGGCTGTGGCAGGAGCTCAGCTGCTGGGTGTCTCTGCAAACAGGGCAAGAAGTACAAGCCCCTGGACCTGCGGCCCAAGAAGACGCGGGCCATGCGGCGCAGGCTCAACAAGCACGAGGAGAACCTGAAGACCAAGAAGCAGCAGAGAAAGGAACGATTGTACCCGGCCAGGAAATTCGCCATCAAGGCATAGCCCTGAGCCAGCTGCACTCCGGGCTGGCCTGGCTCATTAAATGCAGTCTGGATTGAAAGTGTCACTGGTGCTTTCTTTGGTGGGTAAAGAGAGCCCATAAAGGACTCATCAGCTTAATGGGGGGAAATGGGAGGATTCACACCGAGTGTTTGAGCTGTGGCTGCTAATGGAAGTACAGACCTGGCAGTTTCTTTTCCTCTGAGGAACAGGCAGTGGATGGGTGCAGATCTGTGAGGCTGGTTCGTCCAAACGTGCATGAAGTATTTTAACAGTTTAAAATTTTACCTTGTGCCAGTGTTGAAGGGTTACCAGAAAAAAAAAATTAATTAGTTGAGGGATTTTATGGGACATCATGGAAACTTGTCAGCGCTGGGTTCAGATCCCTGGGCAGCTCCCAAGAACCCCCTGGGGCAGGGCATAGTTTTGGACCAGGTGTTCTGTGTGTGGGTGCTGCTGAGGGCAGGAGAGCTCAGGGTATGAAAAAAGTCTGAGCTCCACAGGCACCTCTGAGCTCCCAGAGCATCCGTGGCCTCACAATTCCACACTCCTTTATACCTGTAAAGCCCAGCACGGGTTAAATGGTTTGTCTTTGTCCCCCACGGAGTTCTTTGGGACTCGGGGATGGAGCTGCAGTTCCAAAAGCCTTTTTTGGTCCTGATTGTGAGGAAGAGTTCCACAGTGCTGCTGGAGCGTGAGGGCTGCAGTACTCATGGTTTGTATTAGTGCAGCCAATGCATTCGAACATAAAAAATTCCCTATCCATTAGGGAGTTCCTAGATTGGATCCAGATTCTGTTTAGGAAAAAGATCTTAATTCTGCTCCCTCAATTAAGGTTTTTTAAGCCTCCAGCTAGTTTTATCCAGAGAGTCCTAGTCGTGCAGGGAATTTCCCCTACATGGTGGCATTGCGAGGGGTGGCTGTGCTGTGATGTCACCTGGGCTGTGGCTTTGTCTCTCTTTGGAGCGGGGTGGATGGGACGTGCCTGGCAGCTGGCAGCAACAGGAGCCGGGCTGGCACCGCGCTGGGAGCGGCTCCTCGGCTGGGCTCTGCTCCCGGGCGGGCAGGCAGGGTCACAGGGCTGTGTCCCGTGTCCGGGTGCCCTGCTGGGGCTGGCAGAGCTGCTCCAGGGCAGCATCAGCTGCTTGCCCCCCCAGGAGCACCCCCGTGAGGATCCCAGATCCGTCCCAGGAGCCTGATGGCAGACGGAGACAGGAGCGGGGCTGGTCCCCTGTGCTGGGAACGGGGCAGGCTGGGGCAGGCGGCTGCTGCCAGATCCTGCCTGGCTGCATTTGGGCTTCTCTTTGGAGAGCTGTGTGCCCTGTGCTGCTCCAGCATTGTGGCTGAGGGGAGCCTGGCAGCTCTGCCAGCATTCCTGACAACACAGCAAAGCAAACAGCCTGAATTCTGCGCTGCAGGGATGGTGGCAGTGTCAGGGTTGCTCCAGGTGGCACCTTCCACCCCAGCCACAGGAACAGCTGCACTGCCAAGAAAAGATCTGCTTCTCAAGAATCCAATAATCAGTACAGATCCCTGGCATGCCAATCAAGAGGGTGGGAAACACAAAAGCAGGGAAAAACCCCAACTGAGCAGGCACTGAACATCCAGGAGCCGTCCCCATGCTGAAGTGGGAGGCAGTACTGGAGAACAGCTCAGGCTTCACTTTGTGCACAGCCCACAGCAGCCATTTGAGGAGGTGAGCATGTTTCTGGCACTGCACTAAATCCTGGGGCTGAATTACTCCATCCACCCACAGCTGTGTGACAAAACCAACCAGTCCGGCCCTTCCTTCAGAACTGCCCTGTCCTGTCACAGGAGACATCCTGCAGACAAGCAGCCCTTTAAGTGACCAGGAACAACAGAGTGATTGAGAGGACACAGAGGTGAAGTGATGAGCTTCCTTCAGGGCACAGGTGGAGAACACTCTTGTTCCTGCTGTGAGAGCAAGGCAGAGCGTGTCCTGGCTGAGGTCTCCAGTGGTCTGTGCTGGTTCCCTCTGTGCCAGCCAGCCCCAGAGGCTGCCCATGCTGCCCCAGTGGCCCCTGTCCCCCTCTGCTGCCCGGCTGTGGGTCAGTGTGGGACCCTGCCATGCTGCAGCGCAGCCCCGGGTTTAGCATTGCTGTTTGCAGAGCTCAGAGCCTCGGAAACTCACAATGTTTATTTGCTCCTTGTAACTGAAGATGTCCCTCAGCACTGGAGAGGTTTCCTGGGAAAAGACGTTCCTCAACAAATAAATAATTTCCCGGGCGGGGATGAGGATGGAGGAGCAGCTGCTGGCTGGCTGCAGGGCACGGCCCAGGGCTGGTGCTGCTGCACAGGGAGCCCTGGCCCTGTGCCCTGGAACGCTTCCAACAGGACCAGATGTTTCTGCCCAGCACAGCGGGACCGGCCCGGAGCGGATGGTGTCAGTGGGAGCTGGCAGCACCCACTGCTGGACCCATTCTGCATCGGGGACAGGGGCTGGGGGAGGAGGGGCTGCAGAGGGCAGGGGCAGATGTGAGCTGGATAATCAGAGTCCTTTAGGATGGAAAACACCCTCAAGACTGAGTCCAACTGTAAACCAAATATTGCTGAGGAAAGCCTAGGACCCACCTCCCTTGGCTGGTGTTTGCTGCGATGGACACAATCCCCGGGCCTCCTAATGTTTCTGGCATTGCTCCTGTCACCGCTCCTGTCACTTTCCTCCTTCAGGACAGTCCTTGGCTGCTGCCCTGAGCGCTGCCACAGGGCTGACCCTGGTTTCTGCACACAGTGGGACATGATGGGCAGCGGGACATGGAGTGACATGCCAAGCGCAGGGAGCTTGGGAGCGACCACCTGGGCACTCCCAGTGCCCTCGGCTGTGCCATGCCCAGCACAGGCACGCTGGAAGGGCTGGCCCTGCGTGCCAGCAGCGTGTCTGGTGCATCTGTGACCCCAAGCCCCAGGCTGTGAGGCCTGGCAGGGAAACACGAGTCCCGCTGGCCTCGCAGATGACCTGGGTCTGCCCAGGGCAGCCGCCCGGCCCTGAATGCCCATTTTGTTGGCCAGGCTGGGGGAGGCCTTGCCCCGCGCTGCCCTGGTCCTGCTGCTCCGTGAATACGGGCAGTGTGTGCACACAGCGCCGCAGGGCTCAGCTCCCGCCGGCCCGGGGGCAAAGGTGGCCCTGGGGCTGCCAGGGCTGGGGGCTGCTGCCTGCTGGGGCTGCTGGCTCCCAGCCAGCCTGGCTGTGCATCCCTAGGGAGATGGAGAAAGCCCCTGCACCAGGCTGAGCAGAGCCCAGCCATGAGAGCCCCCGTGCCGTGCCGTGCCGCGCCGTGCATGCTGCCAGGGAAGGGGTGTCTGCAGGTGCACCCCGCCAGCCCAAGGGGTTGCCATGGTGAGGCCGGGGTGCTGTGGAGCTGGTGCTGTAAGCCTGGGAAAGGTTTCTGTTTCCACTGGTGAGTGAGTCAGCGGCGGCACCGCCAAGGCCCGTGCTCCCCTCCCTTCCCTCCGGCCACCGCCACCGCCCGCTGCCCAGCCCTTTCCCACAGCTGCTCGGGGTCGTCAGCCTTGGCACCTGTGTCCCCACATCACACCACGTCCCTGCACCTCCCTGCGCACCTGGAGACTGACCAGAGGCCCTGGTGGCACCAGCGTTCTCCCACCAAACGTGTCCCAGCATGGGCAGCAAATGGGTGGGGGCACAGCATAAGGGCTGTGGCGCTGGCACTGAGCCTTCTGGTCCCCGGGCATGACCTGGGGGCTACTGGCATGGCTGGGCACCGTGTCCCAAGCAGAGCCCTCTGCCAAGCCCCAGGTCCTGGAGCCTGGCAGTGCCCAGACTGAGCTGCAGGGGATCCAGGTGGAGGCAGCTCCTGGGGTGGAACAAGGACTGAAGTCCTGGTGCACCCTCAGTGGGTGCCAACAGACTGCAGCCATGGGCAAGCTCTGGCCGGGATGTCACCTGCCCTCTGCGCATCCTGCCCACCCAAAGACTGGCCACCCCCAGCTCAGCTCAGCCCTGAGTCAGCTCAGCCCTGGGCTGGCACCCTGGGGAGAGCAGGACGCCAGCCTGGGCAGCGGGGCCAGGAAGGAGGCAAAACCACCACAAACAAACCAGCCCGGCCAGTAACTGAGAAGGGGGGGTGGGCTCAGGGCTCACTGCCCGGCTGCACCAAGGAGATTTTGAGCACCAGAGCCACCTGCCCAGATGGCCTCAGCTGCCCTTCCCCAGGCGCCACATCGCTGTCACGGGGGCTTCGAGCACCACAGCCCCCCAGCATCCCTGCTCAAGCTTCATTTGCTGCTTGCTGCTGAACTGAGAGATTTTAATCTTTTAATCACGTTATGAGCCGAGGTGGTGCCGGCCACGCACAGGAGGAATGTCTGGAAGTCAGCAGCGCTGTCGCAGCGGGAGCCCATCCTGCCCCCACCCACATGTCCCCGCTGTGTCCTGCTTGGGGACTCCTGTCCTCCCCAGCCTGCCTTGTCCTGCGGCCGAACTGGGACCAGGGGCAGAACGTGGCACCAGAGAGCAGGACCAGCCATCGGGGACCCGTGCCAGAACAAGGATCAGCTCACAAAGGGCTGCTGGGACTGAGACTCCCCTCCAGAGCCCGAAGGACCCAACACAACGCAGTGCCCTGACCATGTGGGTTTCATCCCTCCCTCCCCGTGTTTTCTGACCGAGGGGAGCCGAGGGGTGTCCGTAGCCCAGCCCAGCCCAGCGCGGAGCCACGGCAGCCCCTGCGGAAGAACAACAAAGCCCTGGAATTAGAGATGTGCTGGGAGTTTACTTTACCACAAAAAAATGTCAGAAATCCGTATTGTTTGTACAGGGATTTGCTGGGGATCGCTAGATAAAAGCCTGGCAGGGACCCAGTCGGGGGGGAAAAGTCGGCCGGCTCCTTTATGGTGGTGAAGACCCACGGCCAAACGAGGGGGCTGTGCATAGCAGGGACAGGGGCAGGGGAAACAAGGGCAGGGGGGGCAGGGACAGGGGAAACAGGGACAGGGGCAGGAACAGGGGCAGGGAAGGCACAGAGACAGAGGCAGGGGCAGGGACAGGGACAGAGGCAGGGGCAGGGACAGGGGCAGGAGAAGGGGCAGGGGGTGCAGGGGCAGGGACAGGGGCAGGGATAAGGGCAGGGACAGGAGAAGGGGCAGGGGGTGCAGGGACAGGGACAGGGACAGAGGCAGGGGCAGGAGAAGGGGCAGGTGGTGCCGTGAGCCAGAGGAGGATCTGGGAGCAGCGTGGGGCCAGCAGAGGGGGAGCCAGGCTGCCCCGCGCCTGGCACCAGCCTCATGTCCCCGCAGTGGGAAACCTTTCCGCATGCAGGGACGCGGCCGGTGCCAGCTCCGCAGCCGCCGGTGCGTGCGGGGCCCGGCGGGGCCGCTGCCCGCACACACGGCCAGCACCGGCAGGGCGGGGGGTGCTCTCACCCGGGCCCCCCCTGGGCCCCCCGGCAGCTCCGCGCTTGCCAAGCTCGGAGCAGCCCCGGGCAGCTGCTCGCCGTGCCCACGCTCAGCTGCTCCGCGCCCGGCACCCGCCTCGGCTCCCGGCGGCTCTGGGGCTGCAGCTCGGGCTGGACGGGGCCAAAGCTGCTCCCCAGGACCCGGCAGGGACAGGGACCCTCCTGCCTCTGCAACGCCCTGGCACCGTGCTGGTGCTGCTGGGGGAACGTGGGGTGCCCGCCCTGGGCAGGTGTGCCTGCAAGGTGTGACAGCAACCCCCGGCACTCCTGGCCGTGGAAGTCGGGTCAGTGGACGAGGAGAGCGAGGGACGGGGACAGTGAGGGATGGGGACGGTGAGAACCCACCCTGCCCGCTCCTCCCTGCCCAGCTCCAGGACAAATGACAGCACACGCAGCCCGCTCTCACATCTGTTATGTTTTAGTACTGCTCACGTCTAAAATGACCAAAACCAAGCCAAGCAGCCCCTCGCTCTGCCTCACACCGAGAGGGAGAGGCCCGAGGGCTGCCCTGCCCAGTGCTGGGTGCGGGCAGGGGAGATGGCAGGTGAGAGGGTAGGTGAGAGGGCAGATGTGAGGGCAGGTGAGAGGGCAGGGGAGAGGGCAGATGTGAGGGCAGGTGACAGGGCAGGTGACAGGGCAGGTGTGCAGGTTGCTGTGCAGGCTGGACACCCCAGGCAGGCTCCTCCACGCCTGCTGCCGAAGGGGACTTGCACGGCTCCAGTGAATACATTTAAATAACAAACTCATGATCAGCAAAAGCAGAGGCATCTTAACCACACTTCCTAAAATAGCGACTGGCACCTGTTCCTGCCGCCTGGCAGTGAGGGGGCCCGCCCGCCCCACGGCGCACACGCAGGGCACAGGGCTGTCCCGGCACCGGCACGGCTGGCAGCGGTGGCACTCGGGCGTGCGGGGAGCGTGGCCGGGCTGGGGCGGTGCAGGAGGCGCTCCGTGCGCTGCTGCAGGGCGGGCGGTGCCAGCAGCGGCACAGGGACGCGGGGCTGGGCTCCTTGTGTCCCCGGGAAGGCGATGCTGGCCGAGCTGCCACGGCCCCAGGGGCCACGTTGTCACAGGGGTGTCTGCTGGGGGCTGCTCTTGCGTGCTCCCCCTGCCCTGCAGCACGGTGGGCACGGCGCAGGTGATGGCCACAGCAGATGGGGAAGGGTTTGGGGTGGAAGCCAGGCTCTTGCCGCAGCCCTGGCTGGAGTGGGGGTGCCAGGGCCGGGCTGCGTCAGGGTGCCCCAGCCAGGCACGGCGCAGGGTGGGCACAGGAGTGCAGTGGGACCCGCCCGGGCACTCAGACCACGAAGCGGAGCCCGTAGGTCATCTGATGGCCGTTGTCCCAGGCATAGAGCACCTTCTCCTTGGGGTTGTAGTCGACCTGCGTGGTGAAGGAGTAGTGGTTGAGGAAGGGCAGTCGGAGCTCTGCCTCCGTGTCTGTGTGCGTGTCGAAGGCGTAGGAGATCTGCCCTTCCTTCTGGCTGTAGGTGTCCACAGCATAGAGGATGCCACAGATGATGAAGCAGTTCCCGTACGTGTTGCGCTTCAGCCCCGTCTTCCAGGTGGTTTCCTTGCGCACCGAGAGGTCCACGGGGTCAAGTCGGCTGAGGACAATCACCTCCTGCTGGGAGTAGTCGTAGTCCACCGAGGGGTAGATGACCCAGAGCCCGCTCTCATCCACAGCGAAGTCGATGTCCGAGTGGCCCCTCCACTTCCAGGGCGTCGTGTCCTCGTACACCACGTCGTGGAGCTGCGCCCAGCCTGCCACGTACCGCTCCTTCAGGTCGTACTTGATGATGTTCTTGGTGAAGGCACGGTTGTAGTAGAAGGCCCCTCTGTACACCACGTGCCCGGTGCCAATCCAGTTGTAGGGCAGCTTATAGAGGTTGCTCCAGCGGCCTGTGGGTGGGTGGGAGAGGTGTTGGGACCCTCCACAGCACAGAGGTTCCATGCACGATGGCCAGAGCATGCTGGCAGCAGCAGGGGACTTGTGTCACCCTTGCTGCCCTCTGTACACCCCCCTCAGCTGCCCACCACCCCAGGGCCCAGCACAGCTGCTGTCACACAGCACTGCACACCCCCCCAGGAGGAGCCAGGGCCCCTGTGCCCCTCACCCTGCTTGAAGTTGTCGAGGCTCCTGAACTCCACCAGGCTGTTCCCATAGTAGTAGTTGGTGACGTAGATGCGGCCATCCTTGGCTGCCGGGTCCTTCATCCAGGCCCCCTCGTTGCGCCCGTAGCTGTGGTGCTCCGTGGGGGGCTCCACCGACTCGATGGTGCCTTCGCACTCCGCCTCCTTCACTGGGTGCCGAGGGGAGGAAGAGGAAGGCTTATCCCTGCCCAGGCGGCTGACTCCTGCTCCTTCCCGTGGCAGATTCCCGCTGGCTTGGCTTGGCCAGGGGCACTGGGAACACGGGGTGCCCTCTCCAGCCGCCCCCCGCTCACCCGCTCACCTCTGTTGGGTGTCTCCCCGGTGCTGTCAGCGCCCTGCCCCGGGGCGGTGCTGCGCGGGGCCGGGGCGGTGCTGGGCGCAGCCGTGCTGCTGGGCACGGTGCCCTCCGTCTGCGCGACAGCTTGGGCTGGGGTGCCCTCAGCTGAGGGGGGCGGGGGGCCCCTGTCCTCCTGCTGCTCTGACACGGCTGCCCCTCTCCCAGGGCCCTCTGTGGGGGGACGAGCCGGGGGTCAGCGCCTTTGCAGGGGCAGGCCCTGGCCCCCCGCCTCGGTGAGAGGTGCCCCCCAGCCCTGCCCTGCCCCCAGACTCACCGCGGCTGCCGGCCGGACCCTCCGCCGCTCCCGCCTGCCCGACCTTGTAGTACGTGATGCCTCGGACCACCGTCTGCTGCTGCGCCAGGGGCTTGGGCTTGGCCGTGGGCTGTGACCCCGCCCTGGCCTTGGTGTTCTCCTTTTTGGGCTTTTCGGGCTTCAGCGGCTTCTCCTTGGGCGCTCGGGGGCCTGCCCTGTCCCCCAGAGCCTTGCGGGTGCTGGGGTACCGTCCTGCCTCCTTCTCTCGGCCACCTGTCGTGTCCTGGGGGGCACAGCCTGGTCAGACCCCCTTCCCTCCCATGCCCTCCTCTTCCCTGCCACCACTGTGCCAGGCAGTGGGCACAGGCACCAGCCCAGGGGTTACCCCAAGGATCCTCCACAAGCCTGGGGGAGCTTGGCCATGCCTGGCAGCACCCACTGTGCCTGCATGGGGCTGTGCCCTGGGGCACCTGGGCCCTGGGGTACCTGGGCCCTGGGGTACCTGTGCCTTGCTCTCGGGGATGGCAGCCGCATCCTTCTGCAGCAGCTGGTAGCCCAGGTTGGAGATCTCCTTCTTGATGCTGATCATGATGTCAGAGTAGTTCTCGTAGCGTTTCATCTGGTCGGTGAGGTGCTGGACGCTCTCCTTCATGAAGTCATTCTCCCTGCTCAGGTTGGTCTTGATGGTCTGCAGGAGAGGAGAGGAGAGGCTGGAGCCCGTTCAGGGAGCTCACAGACAGTCCTGAGCTGTGCAGGGGGAGCACCGCAGGGATGGGGCAGCTGGAGCTCGCTCACCTCCTCCAGCGTGTTCATCTGTGCCACCACCTTGCCGATGTAGGAGTGCACCTTCATCAGGTCCATGCTGTACAGCGTTCCCTCCAGCAGGTCCACCATGGCCTGCAGCTGCAGAGGGGATGAGGGATGGGGCCTGGGGTAAGGGCTAGGGCACGGGGCACAGGGCAGGGGCACGGCGTGGGGAGCGGGTCTGCCCCCCAGTCCCACCGCACCACAGATACCTTGAAGAGCTCAGGGGCCTGTTTCTTCAGCTTCTCCATCTTCCACTCATTCTCGCAGGGGTTGAGTGAGGAGGGGGGCGCGGTGCAGGAGCACTTGCAGTCAGCCCCCGAGCTCACCGTCTCCACGGTGTAGAAATCCTCCACGCGCGCGCTGCCGCTCCTGACGCGGCTGCAGGCGTCCTTGCTCAGCGGCCGCAGGATGCACTTGCAGCGGCAGTCGGAGCCCTCTGAGGTCATCCGGACCTGGTCCACATCACCCAGAGCCTGCGGGACACGTGATGAGCCCGGTGTCCCACCCGGGTGTCCCGCAGGGCCTCGCCAACCCCAGCAGACCATCACAGCCAGCTCCCTCACTGCCCAGAGATGTCCCACTGCCCCCGGGGCTCGTGGCTGTGCCCAAAGGAGTGAGGCACTGTCCCACCGGGCTGGCAGAGACAAAGCCCACGGAGCTGCTCATCCCTGCAGTGTTTTGTGGCCCGGGTACTTCAGTCTCATTTCTGTGGCTGCTTCCCAGCCTCCAGCAAGACCTCAGCGAGCAGGGATGGTGGCAAGAAGACCCAGCAGCGACTCTGTGCCCCCGCTGCAGGGCTCCGAGCCCACACAGGCTCCGTTGTTTGCGGTGACATGCAGCCACCTCGGGGTGAGCTCGGCCCCTCAGTCTGCCGCGACGGCCCGAGGCACAGGCTCAAGGACTCCCTTGTTTCCGCACATGGCCCTGATTCACGCTAAGGAGCCCAGGGTGCTTTTCGGCTGCTTTAGCTCATTTCTCCCGCTGTGCTCAGGAGCAGGGGAGCTGAGTCCCTCCCACCCCCTGCCACCGGCTGTGCACCTGCGGGGGACCCCCGGGCTGGCAGGAGCACGGCCGGGCCGCTCTGGGTGTCCCATGTGCCCGCTCCAAGCACCCCGCAGGGTGGGAGAGCAGGGAGAGGCAGTGCGGTGACCCCGGAGGGACAGGGCTCTGCCCACAGGGACTCTGACTCATCCTGGGAAACAGAACGGTGGCAGAGCTGGGAAACAAGCTGAGCTCTGGCTCCCGGTCCTCCCCGGACCACAGAGCGGCGTGGGAAAGGGCACAGGCCCGCGGGCTCCACGTCCTGCCACAAGGCAGCAGCCAGGGATGCTCCTTGCTGCCGCAGGGCTGCTGCGCTGGTGGCACCGGGGCACTCCCTGAGCCGGGCACGGAGCTCCCACAGCCCACACGGGCCAGGGGCTTCCTCCCCTTTCTGAAGGGCTGCAAAACTTCACACATTTTGCATTTCAAAAAACCCTCTTTCGTTCAAAGGGAAACCAGGTCCTGCTGGCTGAAGGGAAACACCAGGAAGCCAAAGGGCTGTAAATTGGGCAGAATCTAATCAAGTTCTCAGCAGGGAGCGGCGCAGGGACCCCCTCCCCAAACACCACCTCGCCAGGCTCGCACGTCCCCGGAGCCCCTGACCTCCCCCACGGCCACTGCGGCGCTTGTGCAAACAGGCAGGACGGCTCCAGCCCGGCCAGAGCCGGCGGCACACAGCCAGCAGCGCCGGGAGCTGGGCTGGCCCGGCCGGCAGCGGGCACGGCACTGCCCGGTGAGCACGCATCCTGTGGGAATCCCAGGAGAGATCCCTGCACTATGCCCGGGTGTCCCCGCACCGTGCCCGGGTGTCCCCGCACCGTGCCCGGGTGCCCCCGCACCGTGCCCGGGTATCTCCGCACCGTACCCGGTTATCCCCGGACCGTGCCCGGGTGCCCCCGCACCGTGCCCGGGTGTCCCCGCACCGTGCCCGGGTGTCCCTGCACCGTACCCGGTTATCCCCGCACCGTACCCTGTTATCCCTGCACCGTGCCCTGTTATCCCCGCACCGTGCCCGGGTGTCCCCGCACCGTGCCCGGGTGCCCCCGCACCGTGCCCGGGTATCTCTGCCCGGGCCGCCGCCCACCTTCGCATGGGGCCGTAACACTAAACCTCGCTGCGCCGTCTGCCAGCTTCCCTAAACAGGAACTGCATGCTCTATTTATACAGAAAAGCCCATAAGCGAGGAAGTATTAAAAAACAGGCTCCCAGGCGGGGAGACTTTGTGAGGGTCGCCCACCCGGTGCCTCGGCTGTGCCCTCTGTCAGCGTGTGCCCTCTGCCAGCCCCTGCCCGGCTGTGCCCGACTCCACAGGGGACAGCCCACCCCAGGCACACACAGGTGGCTGGGGACGTGAGTGCAGAGGGCACTGCTGCTCTGCTTTCTCCAGGTGGGAATCTGTGAGCACCCCAAGAAACCTGCTGGGGGGCTGATGCAGCCCTGCAGGGGCTCTGGGGATTCTTTCCCTGGATCCCCCACTCGCTGCAGACCCCAGCCCAGGGTGCTGGCAGGTGCCTGCTGCCTCTCCTCCCTCCCCGGGGGATGCACACCCATGGCTGTGTGGGAGAGTGTCCCTGCACTTTGCTGAGGGTTTCCTTACTGCAAGTTTTATGAGCTGGGTAATTTTCCCGGTTTCCGGGACCTCTTGCAAGAGCATCCATGTGAGCACAGAGTTTGTGACATTATTTGGAGAAAGCGGGACCTTTGACAGCGACCCTTGGCCAGCTTTTAAGCTGTCCCTTGGCTGCTGCCAGAGGACTCGTCTCGGAGGAAAACACGCTGTGTTGATAAGCTGCCGCACTGCACGCCTCTGGCACAGCTGCTGGGAGGCATGTCCCCGTCACAGAGGGGAAACCATGTCACCCTCCTCTTCCTCCTCCTCCCAGCTTGGCACAAGGTGTCAAACACGTCCTGCAGCTGAGGCAGAACGGTGCTGGCAGGGCTGGGCCGTGGCTGACGGCGGCCAGGCCCCGGGCGTCCCGTGTTGGTCACGGGGACACAGCCATGCCAAGCGCTTGTGTGGCACACGCACGCCCACCGATGGGATCCCATCCAGCGGCAAGAGCGGAGAAAACACCTCTGAGCACAGCAGGCAGCACCTGCGGGGAGGGAGACAGCACCGCGTGGATCGCTGAGTCCTGCCAGCATCACCCCTGGCACCCCGCCGGGAGCCCAAGCAACAGGGCATTCCAGGCTTTGGATATCTGTTCCAAGCTAAGTGCTGCCCGACAACAGCTGTGTCAGCGTCGTTTCCCACCAAACGTCTTGGAAAACCCTGTCTTTTTAACATTTGGTGATCCTAGCAGTAGCTGCTCCCACCGCCATTCCTCTGGGCTGGGTCCCGGTGTCCCTGCTCCGGCCCCGCTACGGCCACTGACCCCGTGGGAGACGTCTTCCAGCTGGAACCGAGGGCTCCTGGACGCAGGGGGAGGCTGGCTCCCCCCCTGCCCGGTCCCGCTCCTGCTCCTCATCCCCGCGGGGAAGGCTTGTCTGGGCTGCTCTCTCTGGCACGGAGTCGCTCCCTGCAGCGCCCATCACCGCAGCGCCGGGGCTTGGGCACCTTCCAGCCGCTCGAACGCGCCCACAGCCCGGGTCATTCCCTGCGCCGAACCCCCGCCGCGATGGGAGCACCGGCACCCGAAGCCCGGCCCTTCCCGGGACCCCCGCCCGCTGCCCGTGTCGGGCCGCGCCCCCGCCGCTCACCCGGGCACGGAGAGCAGCGACCGCCGGGGACAGCGGGGCTGCCCCTGCCCGCTCCCGACCACCGCCGTGATGGCTCCCGGCCGCGATCGCGATCCCGGTCCCGGTCGCGATCCCGGTCCCGACCGCAGTCGGTGCCGGTACCGGTCCGGCCCGTCCTTACCGTGGCGGCGCCGCGCACCGCGGCCAGCGCCGGGAGCAGCAGCGCGGGGAGCAGCAGCGCCCGCATGGCGAGAGCGGCGGTGACCGCCCGCACCGAGCGCCCGCTCCGCCGGCGCGGGGGCGGCGCGTTCCCCCGGGTGGAGCCGGCCGTGCCCGCCCCGGGGCTCCCGCCGCGCCGCGGCTGCCCGGTGCTCCCGTCCCTCCGCGGGCTGGCCGATCGCTCCTCTGCGGAGGCGGTGTCCCCCGGAGCCCGCCCGGAGCCTCGCCGGGGCTGTGCGGTTTCCCCGGGCTATGCCCCGTGCCCGGTTTCGCCGCTCTCGCGGTGCCCCGTGCCCGGTGCCCGGTTCCCCTCTCCCGGTGCGCGATGCCGCGGGCGGCGCTCGGGGCTCGGCCGGGCGGGCCGGGGCCGGCGGTACCGGGGGCTCCGCCTGCCCGATGCGGGCCCGCGACTTTCCGCGGCCGCGGGGCACAACAAAGGGCCGTGCCCGCCCTGCCCCGCTGCCCCGGGCCGGGCTGGGGGCGCGCTCGGGGCTCGGGGGGTCCCCTCGGACGGGCCGGCGTGTCCTGCGGGTTTGTCTCGCCTCGCAGAAATCGCCTTTTCCCGGTGCAGCCGCGGTGTTCCGAGGGCCCGCGGGGAGCGCGGAGCCGCTGCCGGGTCGGTCCGGGCGCGGGTCCCGGTACCGGTACCGTGTCCCGGCCGTGCCCCCGGTGCCCCGCGGGTGTCCTGGCTCAGCCCCTGTGAGCCGGTCCCTGCCCGGGGTTTATGGGCACCATTTGGGACCCTTTTACACTTCCCGTATGCAGATGCCGCATCTGCACTTGAATGTCCCTGCCAATTTTTATGGTTTACAATTGCATTTTACCATCTTAAGGTACTCGGGTTCTCTACAAAGGGTTTGCTCAGACAAAAGAGGCTTTTTATCAGGCAGCATCCTCGGCTTTCGAGATACAGGCGGCTCCAAAAGATAGGCAGTGTGGGAACGGCAGAAATGGGCATTTCTGTGAGCGCCCTGATGCGTAATGCTGAGTTGTCCCTGGAAGCTCTTTATTCCCCCTCAGTTAATTAGATGTCCAATTGGATGAAAGACACTTAATACTCTTAGATACTTTAATAACGCTCTAATAACGCTCTTAATGCTTTAATAAAGCCTTAATGCTTTTTGAACTTTCTGGTTTAATTTGTGAAGTGTCTGTTGCTTTAGTGTCCCTAAGAGTACAACAGCATTAATGCTTTGTCCGCATTTGCTGTTTTTCCCACAGATGTGGCATTTTTGGGGGAAATCTCTTTTGATTAATCAGATTAGCTTTAAGTTTCTTGCGTAGCTGTTTCTTGTGACAGACGTACCTGTGGCTGTGGTTAGTCTTTTGAATGGGTGATGTAACAACCTTTTACTACTTTGCCTTCAAAAATGTGAAATACTGGTGCGGTGTTGAGACATTGCTTGACCTTCAGTCTTTCTAAAGCCTCTGGGGGTGGAGCAGGAAAGATTGGGTTGTTAATTCATGGTTTTATAAAATACCTGCAAATGGTAATGGCAAATGAAGGCTCTGAATATTTCGTTTTCTTAAGAAAGATTCATAGTACTTTTGATACCTAGAGGAGCAACATCTTAACAAAACCAGTGAAAACTGTATGAGGACAGAGGTATAAAAGTCAGATTGCATTCTTGGTGTTAAAATGTTAATGTTAAAATCATTAATGAACTTAAGCTGTGCACGTGGCTCCTGTGTTAACCCAGAGTAAACTGCTGCAAGTTTATTGGCGCCTTCAGTGAGAGAAGCCTCGGGATAACTTTGAAATGCAGGGTGTAGTTTTATTTCAGCAGTTACAGGCAATTGCAGCCTCATTATTTGAGGGGACACTTGACGTTCTTAGAATATAAGATGATGGTTTTCCCTTGGCAATTTGAGTACTTCCTCTGCCATGTAAGAAACATATTTTGCCATTGAGCAAATCAATAGCAATGCGTAAAACCTGTTTTTTTTAAAAAGCAGTTTCACTAAGACATTCATTTTTCCTGCAGTAGTAGCAATTATTTCACAACAGGATCCCATTTAAGATCAGCCTTGCTATAGCTTCACTTGGCATCTTTTTCCTCTGAGTGAGACATGCTGGCTTTTACAAAGTTTTAATTATTTCATGTCTTAGCTAAAATAGGGACACGACAGATTAGTTAGAATTAAAGTAACTTTGGTCACTTTGTTGTGTACTGTGGTCTTGGAAGACAGATTTATCAGGAAACTAAACAGAAAACTTGAATTTTGTGTTCCTGTAAAACTATCAGAGTTTCAGATGGGCAGATTACTGATCTGGATAAACTTCATACCAGAGAAAAGAGGAAAGTTGTCAGAGCACAAAGAATGTAAGGTTTTCAAAGAAAAGTCCCTTTGCCTGCATCCCTTCCCTTTTCCACAGCATTCCCAAACTTTACTGGCACACACTGACATTTTTAGTGGTTCTTTATGCTTGGTTGCTTTGCATCTGATGAGATAAGCCTTTGCTTAACAAAGACTATTTCATTGATATAGTTGGGTCTTAGTTTACTTGCTATAAACATTTCTTTGAAGATTTAGGAAGAAAAACAAATGGAGTTGTCGAATGGCAACGCTGCTGAAGTCAAATGTCTCTGAATAAACAAGAAGCTACAGTGTTATTTCAGCTCAGTGTTGGCTTCTTGAGTGTGGATGTCTCTTGCTTTTGTAAATAATAATAGTTCAGAATCCTATGCATTATTTTCTCAGTTCTGTGATGGGAAAGGGAAGACTTGTAATTTAGGAACAGCTTAACTCCTTTGTTTGATTTGATGGTAAAGATGGAAAAATACCTCTTGGTATAAAGTTGGAGTTTGGTATTGATGGCTTCTGTAGATCATTAATCAGGAAAATGGGTTTATGCATGCCTTTTTGTGCTGAGCCTGGGACTAGTGCTGGGTGTTGAGCAGATGCAGTGTGTGATGTGACACTGCAACAACAGGATTTTTTCCCCTGCTTTGCTATG